ACCCCCCAGTGCGTGAGGTTCTGGGACAGCGGCCCCGTCGCCGTAACCCCCCAGTGCGTGAGGTTCTGGGACAGCGGCCCCGTCGCCGTAACCCCCCAGTGCGTGAGGTTCTGGGACAGCGGCCCCGTCGCCGTAACCCCCCAGTGCGTGAGGTTCTGGGACAGAGGCCCCATTAAGCCCCTTCACACCTGTGTTGGGCTGTATGCAGAGCATGGTCACCTGTTGCAAGTGAGATTAGCCCCTACAAGTCGCTGCCCCTGATGTCTGTTTTATTTGAATTGAGTATTTTTCTACTGTCAAATGAATGTTTGTTTCATAGGTGGACGATAGCTGATTTGTAGTACATTTTATTAAATGCCTTTTGATAGGACACGAGCTCACCCTCAGCACCAAGGAATCCGTTGGCTGGTTTTGGCTTCATTGCAGGTTATAAAGTTTTGCCATTAGCAAGATGACAATAGCAGGTGTTAGCTCTTTATTCTCCTTTTTACGAGCACTACACAGCTTTGCCCTTAGGTAGCAGGGTTAGTGCTGGGGCGTAGGGGGTTTGGGAGCGATGAGTGCTGACCCCGAGCTGAGTCAGGTGGCCCTCCTGTCTCAGAGCTTCTGACCCGGTCACACACTGACGTGAGTGACCTGCCCTCACTGCCACTCATGGGGCCCCAGGGCTCGGCTCCTCCTGTCACGTGCTGGCATGAAGAGCAGCTGTGAAAACAGAGGAAGAGCAGCAGTGTGGAGAGGGTGTGGTGCCCTGTTGGCACACTGGCGACCCGAGTTCTGGAGGGAGCAAGTGGCCGCCCTGGCGGGCACAGACTTGCACAGCACAGACATGCACAGCACAGACACGCAGGGGACATGGGTCCTGGACAGGGAGGGTGGTCGCCCCTGCAGAGACTTTCCTATTTCTCTGGGGAATTTAGGAGGGATTTCTCAGAAACACACTGAGCTGTGTTTCTGAGATCTGTGAGGATCAGCCTAGATTTTGTGTACATCCATCCATCCATCCATCCTTTTGTAATTGTCAGTATCTACTAGTGGCGAGTCCACGTCTCTGTAAATCAGACCAGTGCTGCAGTTGCTTTCGGCGGATGAATTAACTCATGATCATGTGACATAAATATTCCAAACCTGAACTGAAGGGTACCTGAATGTGACATTTTACTGATGAAGGTCTTCAGCTTCCAGGAATTTCACAAGAAACCATTTTAGTGATTTTTTTAGTCTGTAGTTAATGGACCTGTTTTATATGTTTTTCACTGACTTTCAGCATATTCAGCGGATCATTAGACTGTCTGCTTAGTTATATGATTTGTTTTATATTCTTATATATTACGTATTATATGATTTGTTATATATCATACATTATACAATTTGTTGTATATTGCTATTTCAGCTTGCGTTGCCACATTGGTGTGGTAGTGCCTTGATTAGCAAGGTCACTGGACACCCCCCCCCCCAGTCCAAACACATGCAGTTGGAGTTGCCAAAATGTCTTTAAGCGTGAATGTGTGTGTGAATACTGGGTGTGTCCTGCGATGGGTTGGGTGGTTGGATCTTATGTATTGTTTTATATATCTGCTGTTATGTATTGTTATATGCCCGCTGTTTTATATATATACACACATACATTTTTATATATATATATACACTTATATATATGCTGTTATATATTGTTATACACATGCCAATCACAGGGAAAGGGGGCTAGGGGTGTAGAGTGAGCTGCTGGGCAGGTCTGGTCCCCCACTGGGCCCTTGGCCCCCAGCAGGGCAGCCCAAAGGCTAGGGCAGGCCTGTGATTGTAGCCCCCCGCAGGGCCTGAAAGGGGCCCTCCCCTCTTCCAATTACCAGGCCGGGCCCCCGCAATACAAGGGTTTACAGCACCAATCCAATCAGATCTGCAGGCAATAGAGGGCAAGAAGAAAGGAAGCTGGCAGGTAGTAATGGCAGCCTGAATGGCTACGGCATTCCAGCGTGTGCTCCGTCACCTCCGGCAGGTGTGCCACACAGCGCCACCTTCTCCTAACGCATGGCACCAGCCACACTGCTGCGCTGCCCACCGCCTTCAGCCAAGGTAAGGAGTCAGAAAGAGATCTCTACTCCATCAGGTCTAATTACAGCGGTGGTGAGTGCCTCTTGGGAAATACCAATCAAACGGCCATATTTCAGGTCTGTCCATCTTCCCCCTACTTAGCCATCTTGGCAGCACAGGGCACACATGTCTGGTCCCGTGCTCCAAATGCAGGGGGAGGTTCTTAAATCTACAAGTTCACTCATATTCTAGGTATAAAATCAAGCCTAACCTGATTTTTTTGGCTTCACCCAATGACTAAGCACTGAAATCAAAGTCATACACGTCCACACCCTGGTTGAAAGGCTCCACAAGGACCAGAAGGAACAGTGTGAGTGAGACTAAGCCAGAGAGAGCCAATGGCTAAGAACCTGAGACCTGTAGTTACATGTGGAGGTCCTGGCCTGTGCGAGCGTGCCAGCAGGGGGCGGGGCCTGTGCGAGCGTGCCAGCGGGGGGCGGGGCCTGTGCGAGCGTGCCAGCGGGGGGCGGGGCTTTTGTTGCTCAGCCGCTCTGTCTTCATCTTGCTGTTCCACTGCTTGTCATTCCTGAATCCCAGGCTGGGCTGTAAGTTATGATTCGAGCAGCATCCGTGTGCCAGTGGGACATGTATACGTCATGTGCTGTGTTTGGGGACAACTCTGTGCCGAATGATAGGCTGCAGAAGACTCTGAGAGTCGGACCGTCTCGTTTCAGGCATCTGGTGTTATTGTACTGTATGGAATGTGGAAAATGTTTGTTGTATACTTATATGCATAAGGTGGCAGAGACCCTAGACATGTGAAGAGTGAGAAACTGGGAAGGTCCCAGCACTGGAGGCCGTGTCTGGCCAGGGTAGACCCCCTCCCTGGCTCCAGCGCTTTGTGATGCTAGGCACTGCATTTCTAGAGTCGTTCCTCCCAATTTGCAGCCCAGTTTCATCGTCGATTTGGTCTGTCAGACAGGATCATCCACAATATGGGTCCTGTACTCATGCCCAGGGGCCAGGGTGTGGCTTCCTGAAAAACTACTCGGTCACGTGGCACCACAGCAGTACTGCTGCAGATGCAGGAGAGCAGAGAAGCCTGAAGAACAGGCTGTCCTGTGATGTGTCACTTAAACAGACTATTTGGATGGTGTAAACGCCCTTACTGATCAGCACTGTAACTCTGTCCAGGCTGAGGTGCCCTCAGATCCCAGGCTAATTAAAGTCAGATCAGGGTGGACATTTGGGTCTGCATCCACAGCTGCAGGTGTGAGATGATCAGGTTACGCCCAGAGAAATATGCTGCCCTTGCACTGTCCATGGGGAAAACTTTCACAGAATTCACAGGTTCAGATTGTATTTGGTGGTTAGGGTTAGGGAGGTAATGACAGGTAATGACATTTATTAAGATGGGAGAAGATCAGCCTGAGGAGCCAAAACCAAGAAAAGCATGGAGATCGGGCTGAAGAGGAGGAGAAACAGATGGAAGATCAGACTGAGGAGGAGAAACAATGCAGCCAAAGATGGAGAATCAGACAGGAGATGAGAAATGAGGTTGGAGACATCATGGGATAGTTGGCAGGCTGCAGGTTTGTCCTCCTGTAGCATGCGTGTCCCAAGGCATCTTCTCCTAAATGGGTTCTGTCTGTCTGGCTTCATCCTGTCCTCCACAGCCCTCATTGGGCTGGTCTCTGCACTTCATTTTACACGCGTGGCCTTTCAGAGTGGGGGGGGCGCGGCTTGGGAACACCATCTCTCTCGCTGGCTGTCAGGAAGCTGGCGTTTTGCTCTTCACTCTCCTGTTGTCTTTGGCAGCAGTTTCTCTGTCTGTAAAACATTCATTACTCATTATTTTTGTACAATAAAACCTGAAACGCCACAATATCTCTAACTTCTGTCATTCTGCCAGGAATTCCTCTGGAATCTAGAGTCTCGGTTTCAAAGTTTCCTGTGAAAAGTTATCAGCATTGATGTATCAGATAAGATGCACAAAACACTTGATTTTCCTTTTTCGTGCATCAGTTTATTAAATAATTTTGTTGTAGAGAAGGCTCTAAAATTCCCTCAGGGCATAGTTTAGTTTTTAAATGAGTATGCAGTAATTGCAAAGATAAACTAAATAAACTATTTCAACAGTTAGTGCTGAGTTTAAAGACTGGAACTGGAAGACTGTTTATCTTCAAGCTGCACCGTGTGGCATCGTTAACTAAATATTTACCCTCATTAAAGACCTTGCTTTTCTGTATTTAACAGCACTATTTCAGTAACCAGTAAAACTAAAATGTAACTGTATACACACTAAAAAGTTTGTCCTGTAACAACTCCTCACCTGCTGGCTAATGGGGGATTAAAGGGTTTTAACGCACCAAGAGTACTGCAGTCTTCAGAAAGTAAACTCAGAAAAACATTTAAAAAGGCCTCTTCTCCAAGTTGTACAGAGTGAGTGTCTGTGTGTGTGTGTGTGTGTGTGTGTGTGTGTATATGCAGTTTGCCTGTGCTTTGGAGCACACAGACAAAGTGGGACATAAAGGCAGTGATCCCCCCCCCCCCTTCCCCTGTGAGTGCGCAGGGCTGTCTGGGCAGGTAGGGGCTGTGGGGGGGCACTGTGGTAACAGGCCTCCTGTGGAGAGGGGCCTCCTCCCTGCTGCCTAGGGCCCCGGCCTGCACACCGGGGGGCCCGACTGCCACTGCGGCGCAGGCACTCGCTCTGCGCAGCTCCAGGCCACACTGGGCCCGCGGCCTGTAATTTACTGGCCTGGCTTTTTGTTCTAAATTTTTCACAGGGGGTCAGGTGGGCTGGGTGGGGCTCGCTCGTTATTTGGGTGCTCTCAGCATTTATTTTTCAGCATTTAACTTCACGTTTCACATCAAAGGGGCGAACCTCAGAAGCCTGCTTATCAGTTCCCATTTGACTTTGTGTGCTGAGAACAGGCTGCCTGTTGTACATACATGTTTCCTTATGGCTTGAGACAGATTTTCGAGGCACAGAAACAATGGGCGCTTTGTGCTTCACACAGGTGTGAAAAGCCCCCCCACTGACAGACTGATGTCGGTCAGAGCCAGACAGTGTGCTGCTCTGCTCAACCTGGCACGCATCTCTATCACCATCCCCTCGTCCAGCCAAACTGGTGAGACTTTTTACGGTCAGCAAAGCCCTGACCTCGTAAAGCAGAGCAAATACACCCTATATCCGTTTGCAGTCTTAGGCAGTTCAAGAAAATGTTTAAAGCTATTTATCTGGGCAGTAAGTATATATTAGCTCAGAAAAAATCTATTTAACCTTACAGATATAACACAGATATAACCCCTAGACATAACACAATAAAAACTATCTTTGAAAAGTCACTGATATTGTGTTTGATGGGATGAAGATGTCTTTGGTACCCAAACCGCTACTCAGAGACTCCTCAGTCACTCCATGTAGGTGGTACGTTTCACCACCAGCTCACCTAATTTATTACTGAGATTAATTACATAACTCAGAGAGATGCTGGAGGGCCCCCATCAGGGCGCCTGCACTCTGAGCCAGCAGATCGGAACGTCTGCTGCCACACCGTCTGTTACAACCCCCCAGTGTTGTTATGGCGACATATATGCACAGGATGTTCACTGCTCCTGCACCTGTATTATTCGGGATTCGTCATTCCCCAGTTACCCCCTTGTTCATGACAGGGGAAGCTGTTCCTGCAGGCTTGTCTCTGACCACTGGGAGGCGCTCCCTTCTGAGAGCAGGAGTAGGCCTTCTCTACAGCAGGCCTTTCCGCCGTTAACCAGGGTTCGAGGAGCCTGCCCAGGTGAGGCATCTCTCCACACCTCCGCCAGCTTTAACTGCACTCAGAAAACAAAGCACAGACACATGCCACAGTGGGTGGGACCGCCGTGATCACATGACATCTACAAGGGAAATTTGTTGGGCAAGAGAGAAGTATTTAACTTCATAGTATAGTCATAGTATGTTTTCTGTATTCTTTTTACATCCAATATGTACTGAAGTAGCCTTTTCCTTTTGGATGGGGTGTGGGTAGGGCGGGGGGTGGAGATGGTAAATTTAGTTCAGCCACCGGGTCCCAGTTGACCTCCAAGCCCCAGGGAGCAGGGAGTATTTAGATGATGGACACGCTTGGCACCACTTGCCAGATCAAAGCCCCCCCCGAGCACCATCCCAGATAAGGACCCAATGAACAAAACTCAGGAGGACATAAATGACAGTGGCCTGTAAGAGCAGCCCGATCCACTGCTCTCTGCCTCATGTTACACCACAGAGAGCTAGTAAAAGCAGCCAATAACACCAATGTAGCAGAAATAACCAACGTTCCGAAAATAAAAGGAATGTTGCTTTTTAGGGGGGCTGTAATGGATTTGTTGAGGAAGGTCTGTCGGTGCGATAACATGCCATAATTAGCATGAGTGGACAGTGACTCAGAACCAGCGAGCTGCCCACAGACCCCTGGGGCCCTCGGGGGCCCTGTGGTCACAGCGCTGTTCCTGTGGCACCACTCAGCCCCAACCAGACCAGTTTGTTTGGAGAATGGCTTCCCCAAGAAAGGCTGCTTCAGAGACACTGGCACAGACGGCAGGAATTTCCGGAACAGCTGTAATTCCATGGAATTCCAAAAAGTGAAGATGTTACAATTCCTGAGTCATGCCACCCCAAGAATATCGAGAGCAGAGAAGGGAGTGCTATGGGATTCGGGGTCATGGTGTGACACTGCTGCCTGCGAACAGACAAAGGGCTCCCCGCATTTCGAGGAGGGGATCACTTGCTCTTTTGTGTGGAAGTTCAGAGTTCACCGCTCTTGGTCATTCCTGGAGGCCTTGTGGACCAATGTGTGTTTGCAGAATTAGAGGTGTATCTGGTGTTGAAACGTTGGCGAGGGTAATGTGATGACTTCGGTATGGTGGCTATTCTTAATCTGAAGGATTAAAGGACATGGAGTCAGGCCTAGTGTGGTGTGTGGAGATCCCAAGCTTCCGGTCGTCGGCCTGTTTTTGTTCGTCTATGAATTTTATTGCTGCTATTTTTGAAAGCAATACTTTTTCTAAGTGACACGTGGGGTCCTTCACGTCAGCTCTCCGGAAAGATGATGGGAAAATGGCCTTTAATCTCTCTGTCAGCACTAACGGAAAAAGCCATCAGCCCCATATTTGGCAAAATACGATTGTCAAAAACAACATGTTTTTCTAGAGGCCGTGAATGTTGACTTTGGGCCTCTTATCTCCCCCATCAGGCATAATTGTGTAATTGGCCCTTGTCGTCGTGTGGTCACCGTTGATGCTATCTGGGCTGTTTCAGGAGCACTTGTGGAAGCTGACAGGGAGCCTTCCGCTGTGTATCGATGGAGAGCCCGTGCTGTGTGGGCGGCCATGGGAAGTGGCACAGCATCGCTGTCCTGTTCTTTGTTCTCCATGCCGTTTTCTCTCTGCTGTCATTTCCACCTCGGCAGTGGCTGAAACCGGGGAGGGGGAGCCCAAGCCGGACGCCCCCCAGCCTCCCTGATGCCTGGATCAAAGCGGATCTCTGGCCGCAGTGCCGTTTCCCCACCACATGAAACGCCAGGACCTGGTCATGTGACCATCTGTAAAGATCCTACTGATGACGGTCGATATTTGATATGGGAAAAAACATCCAAGTGCAGATGAACTGAAGCAAAAGGGGCGGCTTGCAGAGCCTGGAATAGCGGCATAGCCTTGAACAGCACGTATAGCCTCAAACGATGCCCTCTGCGTCTGTCCCACAGTGCTACATCCCCCCATTACCTTGCTCTCAGGTTTTAGTGACTGCTCATTCAGGTTATTGGGCACTTTTCCACGGCACCAGCCACTGCGTGCCGTTATAGAAACTGGCACCAGCGCCAAATGACATTACAACGCAAGGCAGGGTATTTTGTACTGAATTCGAAAAATGGCTGTAGTATATCACAGGGCTGGACAATGTGTGATATTAATACCAGCATTGCATGTTATTCACATGCAATATTCACATCAATAGTATATTTTTAAAAATCAATTTATGGTTTATATCCACTGCTTTTACATAGGCACTGCATGCGTTCTCCAAGACAATCATAATCATTTTCATCCTTGCCGTTCAAATCACTCCTAGGCAGATTTGTAAGATATTTATGTTAAAGTCTTATTTTACTTTATAAATATCCAAATATTTATTGCAGCAAAATAATATTGTGTCCGAGTTCATTATACTTTAAGCTTTGTCATGCCATCCTGACCTTGTGTCTGTTCGTTCTGCCAGATCGCACCTCTCTTTATCCACACGTCCATTATTTGTTACCTTTTTTTTTTACTTCGTTTATCATTATTTTCTGAGTTTGTACATTTTTTCAAGGTGCCGTTTCTATTGTGTTTCAGGAACAATACAAGGCAGGCTATTTGCATACAAAAATGGTAAAGAAGCATTTCATGTACCACCTCAAAATACCAAAAGTTTCAAAAAGTACCAAAGAAGTACCCGAGCTGGTTTGGTCCTTTAGATACTGGAACTTATGATACTGGTACTCGACCGGAAGGTCAATGGAAAAGGGAAAGTACCGAAAATACCGTACCAAAAGTACAGTACCTGGTGCGGTGGAAAAGCAAGTAATGTAGGGTGACTTTGTGCTGGAATAGCTGCCTTCTGTGAGCCTCGGTGAGTTACTCCTTCAGAAATAGGTGTTCTCTACACTGTTATCTCACAATACAAATAAAAATGTAATAGTGACTCATTGAAGACCTTGCACTGGCTGTTCTTCTGTCACATTTGTTATCTGATGCCGGCTCCCTGCTGACCAGCCGCAAGCCGAACAGCTGCTTTGGACAGTTTGAAGGCAGTT